CTTCACTATCCCCCTTCTTCTTCGTCTCAATTCTTACTGTTATGTGTTATTATGGGTAAACCCAGATCTGGAAAAAAAATTCTTGTTAATGAATAAAGGGATTTTTACGGCTGGCGGATCAGTGTAGGCCCAAGGAGGTTAATTGATCTCATGATGGATGTAACTATAGCAATGACGTTGGAGGAGGTCAATACGAGGCTACACAGGTGGGCTATCTCCGATGAGGAGGTTAGCAGTTGCGTGGTTTTGATGAGGTTCTGACGATAGGCTATAATTACGTATTTTAGTCGCTTAATACACTCTAATTTACTGCACTTTAGTTGAGTTTGAGCTTTAATCGCTAGTATTTTGCACTAATTGGGTGTTTTATGCCTTGTAGGAGTGATTTTGAGCTATGTAGATGTTATGAAATGAATTAAAGTAATTTGGAGCTTTGAAGTCTGAGTAAAAGCCCAAGGAATTAAGCCAGGATCATGTTCGGAGATCAACGGATAACAGTTTAGAACGAACGAAGAATCGAGCAGGCATATTGCGCACTATCTAGTAAAATGTACATAACATTTAGACCAAAACTCCATTTGGGCTCCACAATATATGGTTGGAACGCTAATTCAAAGGGATACAACTTTCATGTTTTACGTTTTTTCACATTCCTAATAGAACAGGGTAAAACTTGCACGGCAAGTGCACGGCCGCGCACTGACCGCGCATATGGGGCAGAAAGTGTGAAAAGTGTGCGGCCGTGCACGTCCTGTCCGGGAAAAGTGTCCTTTTTCGCGTAGTAGAAGGTATAATTATTTAGGCACGACCCTACTTGGTATATATATATATATATGAAAAATAGTATTTTGAGGAGGAAGACACCACTTTAGGGTAAGACAACACCCAAGGAGGCAAGAATACGCTAGGATCAAGGAGGAAGATTTAACCACGAGTTTTTCCCCTTCTTCTTTCTACTTTTCGTTGTTGGTTATGACTTTTAGTATTGTAGTATTACATACTATTATGAGTAACTAATTAATTATCTAGAGTTTTGATGGAACCTCTTGGAGGATGAATTCTTGTTATGTTTTAATATAATTTAACCTTTGAATTTATCTATTTGTCAACTACGTGCTTATTTCAGTTGATTGAATGGCCATCGATTGACTGTGCCTATATATTATGTGATTCTTGAGAAAAGATACATATTTAGGTGGTCGTTGAACAATGTCACTCCTAACGTATGTGAGAAATCAATACAACGGGTTTAAAGGTAGGTTTAGAAATAACAAAGCCTTGGCGTGGTCATAGTGAGCAGTTTGATAAAGCCAACTAGCGTAGTTCGAGAGAATATGCCTAGTAAATTATTGTAGTTTCTCGAGAGAGAATTACAGCACTTAAAGTGCTCATGATCAGTAGATAATACATAGGCAAAATTGTAGGAAACATAGCGGTAAGGATTCCGACAATTGGAGAAATCATAACTCTAGACCTCCTGAATTTAGTCTCCAACCCTTAGTATCTTTAGTTGTTAATTTACTGCTTTAGTTTATTAGTTAATTAGTTAGATATAAGAATCTTAATATTTATAACTTAGGAATTGTTCAAGCTTGTCTTCTTGGTGATAGTGAATATTTGTAGCTAAACCTTAGTTCTCTGTGGGATTCGACTCCGGACTCTTGAATTNACACACACACAGGTTGAGGAGGTAAACGATAGTTGAGAGCTTGTGTTTACTGTTCAGATGAGGATCGTACCACGTACTTATATTTGTTTACACTGTTTATTTACCATTCCTCATAATTGTTTACTTTTTACTGCACTTAATTTATCGGACCACTAATAAGTATCGATGTCGACCCTTCGTCACTACTTCTCCGGGGTTAGGCTAGATACTTACTGGGCACGCGTTGATTTATGTACTCACGCTACACTTCTACACTTATTGTGCAGGTATATATTTTTGGTGGTCTTCTGGGCGCAAAGGCACATCTATTGCGGGGACTTTACAGTGAGATACATCCTGTGTTACGACTCGCAACATACAGAGTCTCCATCATAATTTATTTATATTTTTCTGTCTAACGTGTATTTCAGACATATGTTGTATTGTTATTGTACCTTCTAGTAGATGCTCTAGTACTTATGACACCGGGTTTTGGGGGTGTTCTAGAATTTGTTTATGGATTGTTCTACATTAATACGCTTTTACTTATTATTTTAATTAAAATGTGCGTAACTATGATTTATTTTAATGCACTAACCTCTCTATCTAAATAAGATTTATGATTTTAAAAATAATAAAATAAATAATTAAGTTGGTAGTTCACTGTTGGCTTGCCTAGCGGCGACGTTGGGCGCCATCACGACCTATAGTGAATTTTGGGTCGTGACAGATTGTTCTTCCAGCCCAGACTACTTGCTATTTCACTCATGTCAGCAATCACATGTGTTGAGGGAACCTGAGCTGGAGGTAGACAGGCTCATCACTGATCCCATTGAACAACAAGCACATCATCAGGAAGTCTTGCCCATGGCTGACTCTCTTTCACCAGCTCACGATACACATGTTCAGTCTTCAGCTCCCATTTCTCAGGCCACTTGTTGATATTGAGCCCATACACAATGCAGTCAGGCAATTAGAGAGAGTCAGCAAGCCTCCCATCTGGCTCAAGGACTATGTAACTCAAGGCAAGGGACAGACAGTGGCAAACACATGCCTTTATCCTATTTCAATAATGGTTAGTTATGATCATCTGTCCAGGCCCTACCAGAACTTTGTGGCACATGTCTATAGCATCATTAATGAGCCCAGATCATATCAGGAGGCTGCCAAAGATAGCAAGTGGATAGAGGCAATGAAAGTTGAGATACAAGCATTGGAAGAAAACAAGATCTGGGAGGTTGTATCACTACCTAAGGGGAAGAAGGGCATAGGGTATAAATAGGTTTACAAGATCAAGTATAAAGCAAGGTGAAGTGAAAAGATTTAAAGCAAGGTTAGCGGCCAAGGGCTACAATCAAAAAGAGGGAATTGACTACCAAGAAATATTCTCTCCTATTATCAAAATGGTCACTATTAGCAGTTATTTCTTTAGCTGCAGTTGAAGGTTGGACCTTACACCAAATGGACGTCTACAATGCCTTCTTGCAAGGTGATTTACATGAGGAACATGAGGAGGTATACATGGACCTTTCTCAAGGTTTCAGTCCTAAAGTTGGCAAACATTAAGTATGCATATGTTATAAATGGGTTTACAAGATTAAGTATAAGGCAAATAGTGAAGTGGAAAGATTTAAAGCAAGGTTAGTGGCTAAGGGCTACAATCAAAAGGAGGGAATTGACTACCAAGAAACATTCTCTCATATTATCAAAATGGTCACTATTAGAGCAGTTGTTTCTTTAGTTGCAGTCGAAGGTTGGACCTTACACCAAATGGACGTCTACAATACCTTCTTGCAAGGTGATTTACATGAGGAGGTATACATGGACCTTCTTCAAGGTTTCAGTTCTAAAGTTGGTAAACATCAAGTATGCAGATTACACAAGTCCATCTGTAGGATTAAACAAGCATCCAGGCAATGGAATATTAAGTTGATCTCAGCATTGACTGTTTCTGGCTATACACAAAGTTATTTGGACTATTCTTTGCTCAGCAAAAAATCAAGCAACAAACTAGTGGTGATTCTGGTTTATGTTGATGATCTCCTAATCACTGAAAATGATCTTGAGTTTATTAATGCCACGAAGGTTGTTCTGCAAAACAATTTCAAGATCAAGGATCTAGGTGAGCTCAGGTATTATTTTGGGATATCATTTGCCAAAAGTAATGAAGGTATTCTGATGCATCAACGCAAATATTCTCTGGAATTAATCTCAGACATGGGGCTAGTAGGTGCTCGACCACTTGGTGTACCAGTGGAGTTGAATCAGAAGCTTACCAGTAGTGAATTTGATGCCCATGTTGGCTCATCTTCTGATCTACCACTAGAGGATCCTAGCAGCTACCAAAGACTCATAGGTAGACTGCTTTATTTGACCATCACTAGGCCATATATTGCTTTTGTTGTGCAATGTTTGAGCCAATTTATGCATGCTCCTAAAGCCTCTCGCATGGAAGCAACCATCAGGGTAGTGAGATATGTCAAACAGGCACCTGGCCTTGGTATCCTTATGTCATCTCATAGCTCTCTTACACTTCATGCCTTTTGTGATGCAGACTGGGCCTCCTGCCCTAACACTAAAAAGTCAGTTACAGGATAGAAGCTCAACTGACGCTGAATACATGAGTCTTGCAACCACTGTGGCAGAGATCGTTTGGCTCATAGGTCTATACAAAGAATTGGGAGTTTCCTTACATTTGCCTATTCCTATGCACAGTGACAGCAAGTCTTCCATACAGATTGCTGCTAATCCCGTGTTCCACAAGCGGACTAAACATATAGACATTAATTATCACTTCATTCGGGAGAAGATTCATCAAGGTCTGGTGGACACTCTCTATGTGCCATCATCAGAGCAACATGCTGACATCTTGACTAAGAGTTTTCCTATTGCTCATCAATATTATCTTCTATCCAAGCTAGGAAGGAAGAATATCTTCATCTCGCCTAGTTTGAGAGGAATGTAAAGGAATTAGATAGATGCACTATAGTGCACTAATGCTGAGCCGGACACTAGCTGGGGCCAGCTGTACATTGTATTTAGTTGGTTGGTTAATTTAGTCGTTAGAAGGTTGTATATATTGTTAGCTATAGTAACTATTTAGAATTAAACTTCATTCTGTAGCTGCATATAAATCAGATTGATAAGTTTTTCAAATTTTCTTGAAGCAAATGTTGCCGTACCTTCCTCAAAGAGGAAAATTGCTTACCTGGCTGGCAGTAGTATTATGAAAGTCTAAGTCATAAAAGTCATGTTCCGACAAAAGCGGTTGTAAAATAATCAAACACGGTCATGGGGCGTGGATCTCAATGTCTTTTGCAATTACAAAAATTGTCCGAATCCGCTTTTATTTCCTACCAATTTCGATTTTCCACCTACCAAAAAGACGTTTCTACTATTCTCGACTTTGTACATAAACAGGGACTGAGTCATAGATCATCAACTCAACAATACATCCACAATTCTCCACAGTACAAGAAAACAAAAAAATGGCGAGTCTTAAAGTTCCAACATCTGTTCCAGAACCTTATGAAGATGCTGAGCAACTCAAAAAAGCTTTTGCTGGTTTGTTTTTTTCTTTCTTTCTGTTAATTGTTTTGTCCCAGTTTGAATATATTCAGATCCCTATTGTCGTATGTAGCATTGGAATTTTAATCTTAGAACATGATCGTGGAAATTTTACTCATTTACATTTGCATTTGCTCTTTTTTTGATTGATCACTGAAGACTAATTAGACTTTGAGATTGACATTTAATTTTTTGATAACCATGAAGTTGACTTTTACTTTTCCTTACCTGTTATTCCTTGTTGACGGAGATTAATTCTTGGATTTTCATAATTGATTGTTATACATATTCCAATTTTTTTTTTCAAAACGTATATGGATAATTGAGTGCGCCCACTGACTCTAAATCTTGAATTTGCGCGGTTTGAAGGTGGGCATGGGCAAAAAGGCGGTGAGATTTTTTTTGATCTGTTCAGTAATTGGAGGATAAGGTAGAAATTGATTATCTTCGCCTGTAGCCATTTTGTATAAGACATTTCTCTATGATTCTCTTTTAACATTCCTCAACATAAGGACGTTGGTTGGTCTAGCTGTCTGTTGTCTAGTTGCATCTAGCTTCGGCAATGCTTATTAATTTGTTGATAAAAGGTTCTTGCATAATTTATTTGGCTGTTTAAAAGAGTTGATTTCCATCTTGTGGTTATAATTGAATGTCGTAGTAATTTTGGAAAAGATAATTAGACCGTCAAGGGGGCTGGTGGAATGGTAAAGGTTACTTTATCATTAACTAGAGGTCTCAGGCTCGAGCTATGAGAATAGAGTCCTCTTTGGTAGAGATCACCAAAACCCCCCAATAGTGGGCTTTCTATGGAGCAAAAGCTGATTAGTCGGGCCAATAAGTTCTGGACCACCAGATGGTTAAACAAAAAAATAAACAACAACAAGAAAAGGAAAATCTCATTAGACAATGCTTGTTTTGATTTAGTGGGCTTGCAGGGAAGGAGACAAATTTTGTCTTTGATAGTAGACGAGAACTGATAATGTCTGATCGTTGCTAAATGTTATGCAGGATGGGGTACAAATGAGGCACTTATTATTCAGATTCTGGCACATAGAAATGCAGCACAACGCAAGTTAATCCGAGAAACTTATGCTGCAGCTTATGGAGAGGATCTTCTCAAGGACTTGGATGCTGAACTGACAAGTGATTTTCAGGTTGGGCTCAATTTTCCCGTTTTTGTGCAAAATTGTATTGAAATACCCCGTCTATGAATCATTGAAGCGTATTGAATGTTTAAAGCCGTGCTTTGGCTTACGTTACTAACCTATGGCAAAGATTGCTTTGACTAGAATATAATTTGATTCACATGTCATTGCAGCGTGCAGTGCTTCTGTGGACTTTGAGTCCTGCTGAGCGCGACGCCTACTTGGTTAATGAAGCTACCAAACGTCTGACTTCTAGCAATTGGGTTATCTTGGAAATTGCTTGTACAAGGTCTTCTGATGATCTCTTTAAGGCGAGGCAGGCCTACCATGCTCGATACAAGAAATCACTTGAAGAAGATGTTGCTTATCACACAACTGGGGATTTCCGTAAGGTACTTCATAAGATCTGCAGTGCCTGAATTGATTCATTGCTATTCTAGTGCTAGTGAACCTAGTTTAACTATTTATTCATTTTAGGACCAGTATGTCCTTTGCCAAGTCAAGCTCATTAACTCTTTTCTTTGCTTACTATGATTTCTGAGGGATGATTCTTTCTACCATATATGCTGTTGCACCTATTGGTTACATTTGTGATGTTAAGATGAATGATAAATGGTGACAACGGATAGATAGCCTAGGGGTAACGACCATCCACCTCCCGCCTAAATGTTGGGAATTCAGATCACCAATGGAACAAAGTGGAAAATGATTACCGTTGGGCTTCTGGGAAGGGGAAATTGGGGATAGAGTTTACTGTGTCCAGAAAAAAGAAAAGGTTGGATGGTACACAGTCTCTGCGATAACATTGTCAAAAGTTAGATGATCACCTTAACCTTCACATTGTTTGTCGTTGTTCCAATGAATAATGAGAATACACGCAACAAATAAGTCTTACAATCCCGTTCTTGATCTGCTCATTTCGCTGTAAACTAATCCCCGAACAGCTTTTGGTTCCTCTTTTAACTGCATTCAGATACGAAGGAGAAGAGGCGAACATGACATTGGCAAGAAAGGAGGCAAATATACTACACGAGAAGATCTCTGACAAGGCTTACAATGATGAGGAGCTCATCCGAATTATTTCTACTAGGAGTAAAGCACAGCTGAATGCAACATTCAACCACTACCTTGACCAACATGGCAGTGAAATCAACAAGGTAGAACTCAAACATTAGAAAGACTTGCAATTTGATTACTTACCATTGTTTACATGGGATCTATTTGCTATTCCATCTTTGAAATTCTATTTGCTCACTTTGAATCATTGCTTCAATATCTTCATATTGATTCTTATTTGGCAACTCATATCAAATATAACTATTTATTGTATTGGGCACGGATGCAGGATCTGGAAACTGATTCTGATGATGAGTACCTGAAATTACTCAGCGCAGCAATAGAATGCTTGAAAACCCCAGAGAAACACTTTGAGAAAGTTCTTCGATTGGCTATCAAGGGTACAGGCACAGACGAATGGGACCTTACTAGAGTTGTCACTACTCGGGCTGAAGTTGACATGGAACGTATCAAAGAAGAGTACCATAAGAGGAACAGTGTTCCATTGGACCGTGCAATTGCTGGAGACACTTCAGGAGACTATGAAAGGATGCTTCTGGCTTTGATTGGGCATGGAGATGCTTGAATGGAATATGTGTTCTAAGATTGGATAAGAAACTATTTCCTAATGTCTGAAGTTTGAATTTGTTTGATGATGTGTGGCATGTATGCCCAGAGTTTGGTTTGCATTATATGGATTTAAATAATCCAGGTGTTGTGTTTTGTTTTTTTCTTCACTTGTCATAGTTTGGTTCTATATATTCGGACTTCCTCAACCAGTGATCTTATTGTTTATCATCTAGGTCAGCATACCAAACTGCCAATTATTTTTTCCAATCAACTAATTGAGCTTCCCAAAAAGTGGTTGGAATTGCCCAAACAAATCTTGACTATCAACCTACCACAACTCCCTTCTTTATCTTAGGTTTGTAGTAATTGTTGTGCTTCATGAAACTCACTAGACAAACGTAATCACACTATTAGTTATGATTGAATTCAACGCTCTTCTCAAGAAACCCAATGGGAAGTGGATTCCTCGGTAGCCTTTTCATTTTGTAGTTGAGTGTTTTCCGTTTCAAGAGAATCAACTATAATCTCAACAACAACAATAACAAACTTAGTGTAATCTCACATAGTGGGGTTTGGGGAGGGTAGAGTGAACGCAAATCTTACTTTTACTTTGTAAAGTAAAGAGGCTGTTTTTGATACACCACAACTAGTAAAAAGACTGTTTTTGATACACCACAACTCAAAGGAAAAATGGAAAAGTAAACCTAACTGATCAAGCCCGCTAGGACCAAGTTTATGGGCTAGGTGCTTTCTGGATCACTAAAATCTACAACGAACTCAACAGATTATTAAAAGCATAAAGAGCAAAATCTGTGAAAATACTCTGTTAGGCTAATAATCCTCCAGATTTATGTGAATTAGATTTTGGAAGTTGTTCGTACGACATGGTTAACACATCAAAGTCTACAACCCTCAGTCCTAATTCCACGAAACACTAAAAGCATCACTAGTCAGCAGCTGAAATGTTGCACGAACACTATAAGTTAACATAAAAGCAGTTTGGTGGCATATATCTAAATTAGTGCAATGCTGCTCTCTCCACCCGGTGGTTTGCGCACGCCACCAAAGTAATCTCTGGATTCAACTTTGCCATCAGAAAAAATATCATTGCCATTCATTTCTCTCAGCTTTGCTCTGCTCAGTGGCTTTTCTGCAGATCCAGGAGGGACATCTCCCTTGAAAATGTCATTGCCGGTCAACTCTGCAAACTTCTGGTCATGTATTTTCTTTACTGTGTTGACAACAGGTTCATCACCAAACAAGATATTGCTTTGACCACCAGCAGGCTACAGAATA